CCTACTTCAGACCGTCTCATCCAGGCCACATACCGCCGGCGCCTGTGTGGTCCCGTACTTAATGACAGGAGTTTTACCCACAACTGTGTCTTAAGGCCTGACGGATGAACCTGTTCGTTCAACTTTATCGTCAAGGCCACAGCAAGTAAATTTCATGGATGACATCAGCGAGCGCATTAATTTTCGCCTGATTTTGGGGGGAAAAGGCAAGAAATCTTGTTGCCTTCTGACAGTGGTCAACATACCGAAAATGGGCAAAGATGTCTGTTGCCATGCTGGAAGGTGGATGGCAGATAACTGATGAGGAGACAAGACAAGGTTCTGATTTAATGTTTTGTTTCTTACTTTGATGCAGTGACATATAATGCTGGTTGTGTATATGTGATGTTCCTACTGAATCAAAACCATTTGTACAATGATTGAGTCCAAGTTTTAAAATGTAGGAACCTTGTTTTTTTCGGTCCGCCTTGTCTTTATTTCGCCCGCTCGCATTAGATTTGGAGTCTGCGGAGGATGGCATTCATAAAATTTACTTGCTGTGGCCTACAAAGGCTTGATGTATGAACTTGTTCGTTCAACTTTATCGTTAACGGAATTGGACATGATAGTTTCTTTGACGGAAAAATCCAGGTGTAATCTTTGATTTTAGATTTCAAAAAGATATTCTAGCCGAAGGTTGATTCGGGTCAAAACGCTACGAATATTAAATACCATCCGGTTTATTCAAGTCATTATTATTATACGTATACCGTGATCGGAGGCCAGAGTCAAAATGTAGCAACATAAGCATGTAAATATTTATCGGGCATGCAGTCACTTTCTCTCATTGGCTATACCGCTAATTGAAATTCTCTCATTGGTTGAACTGATAATTGTGATGGGCAGTTAGAATCGGTCTGTTGAGGTCAACCATGGCCATCACCCAATGGCTTTACAATGACATGTTCACTATCATAGTTCTCGAGTTAAGAAGGCGCTTATAAGGACGCGGTGGAAGGATCATTCTGGTGTCTTACCCGCCCAAAGAGACTTATTATCCAGCCGTGACATTTCGAGCTCATGCCGTTAATACATGTGAACTTGACGGGATACGGCATTGTGGGGACCGTTCAGGCATGGCCAGGTATTTCTGTCGATCTCCTAGCTCCGCCTAACTCCGCCAAAATGTAGAAATGCAAACATTTGACGGACATGTGGCCACTCTCTCATTGGCTGAATCGCTAATTGCCATCATCATAGAGCCGGGCGATGTCGACCAATGAGAAGCCTCCATTTTCCCATTGGTTATCAGGCTGTTATCAGACTGCCTGGTCATGTGTGATAACCACCTTCGCAACGCTCACTCGGTGGTTTATTCGGTAGTTATCGCACCTAACCAGGGATTATCTCACCATATACACCTCGGGGCGGGGCATCAAGCCTTTATTCTCTCATTGGTTGAGCTGACAACACCTTTTAAACATAGTTCACAGACCTCCTGACATAGAGGTGTTGGTCATGAAGCTTCTAAGAGCCTGACCAGTAGAATGGCCGCTACAAGCATAATTTAGTCAGGCTAAGAAGCTGTGGTGAAAACATTCGTGTCTTTGATCTGTATCGAATTCTCCTTAAAACGTTACAGTGATAGATGGAGAGGCTAACCGGCCTAATCCCCCAACCATGCACTAGTATGAAGTGTTCAAAGAAGAAGAAGTTTATTGGATAGACCTTAGCTGGTTTACCCTTACACAGTTTACAACCCCATCTGCAATAGATCCCAAAGCCCGCCGCCACCTCTGTCAATAACTCTGAGAGCTGTAATAATAGCTCTAAAGGCAAAATGAAATATTTTTTTTTAATTTTCATACTTAATCATCATTCACAAGACACTGTACAGGAAGTATGGTACATACATAGTAATGCATAAAAGAATAATAAGATTTTTGTACCGTTTAAGGAATTACAGCAAAATGAAACAGGGAAATGCCAATAATCGCTACATACCTCTAGATACAAGTAGTGATGCGTAATAATTTAAATACTAGTACTTAGAAATTCATGGCCGTTAAAAATCGGTTTTGCATGTTTAGCTGAACCAATCCCGACTGTCCATCACAATCATGTCAGTAGTTCAACCAATAAGAGAATGGCAATTAGCCATTCGGCCAAAAATCCGTGTACGTTATGACAGAGGTGGGCGGGGCTATGTGATCAGACTATTAAATCTAACGCTGACGTTCATTGGTCCGCCAAAGCTGGGAAAAAAGGTAAAGTCATGTGATGTATCCCTCGTATCCCCTGTATTAGCTCGTGGGTGGAAATGTGACATTTTCATTCATGCGCTGTCGTCTGGTTTGACAGATAGTCGTTGAAATACCGCACTGACGCACAAGCAAAGCGCATTGACGTTTCGTTTTATGGATATTGAACCTCGTCCAAGAATTCGAAGAAGAGACACTGTTAAAAGCATTTTTCTTCTTCGCTGCCGACATTTTTTACCCTCAGTCATGCACGCCTAACCCCAAAGGCTTCTGATCTTCTGAAAAATATGAGTAAGGGCCTTCTTGGAATAGTCGTCCACCTGTTATAAAAAAAATTAGCTCTCCTGTCACATAAAGAGTTTATATACATACAGCAGACCATACGCGAAGGTAATCATTATGGATTTACTACATGCAAATGTTATACCTTTCTACAAAATTCTAGCCTGGGTACCATCCGGATTTTCGCTACGCAACGCTCGAAAAAATCACGTTGCGTAGCGAAAATCCGGATGGTACCCAGGCTATTTTTTCGAGCGTTGCGTAGCGAAAATCCGGATGGTACCCAGGCTAACAAAATTCTAGTTAATGTTTTTGTCACAGCCTAAGCATATACATGAGACCAAGGAGACGAAAGGTAAAGGGGCACCAAGGCACGGATTATCATGCCATTGGAAGAAAGCACGTCACAATAAAATTGTCACTCAGGCAACAGTATAGATTTTGAAAATTTCCAGTTGCTTGAGTGACAGTTTACTGGATGTCTAACCTTTATCGACGTCACAATAGATTAACCACTACTCATGGAACTTAAATTGAATTAGACCAGCTTTTTTTCAGTTTCAGAAGACTTTGTGAGAAACATATTTAACAAAGTTGGCATATACTTAGCAAGAGCCTTGTTTAGCATTTCCAAAATGAAATTTACGTGAATATATACATATATGTTTAAGCTGTACTAGTGAACTGTCACAAGGCACACCTTCCCCCTCCATAGTGACGTCACTATCCATAAAACTGTCTTTTATGATTTACCCATAAGTCACTTTGTCCTTCGCTACACACCACGCATCATCAATGCCAGACCAAGGATCGAAACTTGACCTTGCACTTCCGTTTCCGGTGTCATTCTGTATTGGTTTCCGGACAACAAAGAAGGAATTTTGACAACAAGAGAGCCGGTGACTCGACTTCTTAAAAAAGCCCGATGATATCATAGTCAGGTCAGTTTGCAGTTTAGTCCACACAAATGTTCGTACGTACAGCTTCTAAACCCCGTTAAGAATATCACCTGAGCAGTCCCCACCACCGAAATACGCAGAAGAGGGTTGGGCTTTCCCAGTTGCGGGCTGGCGTTCTGTGTGGAACGACGAACGTAAGATATTTCGCCTGCTTTATTACGTCAGTATTATGCGTGGGCTGTCATAAAACGTGCGTCGCTACCCTTTACGTCACAAAACAACAACAACAGGAGCAACACAACAACAAACCTACGGCGGGAGCACGTTGCCCTACAGGTAAACACGAGCTATATTTTCTAGATTTCTTGTCCAATTTCGCATAGCCGAAAGCCTTACGCTTTCTCATGCTCCTCTCACCGTAATTATGATCTAACAGGACCGTGCGTTCCAACGAGCAAAGCTTGTTCGCAAGGGGATTTCTGGGTGTGAGAGTGTATCGCAGTATTGGAAATCAAATATACTGTCGTCCCATCGTTTGACGTTTAAATTCTCACGAAGTCGTTCCACGAGTAGGAACGCTCGAGGAATAGTAATATCGGGCCGGTTGTGGGCGAACCCAACCGGTTTACAGACGTTACTGTTGCGGCACCGAAATCTGAACAATGCCAATGTTGATAGATTACACAGCGAAATGTTGAATCAATCGTGGAGGTAGCTAGCCTTTGTCAACGTTTAACTAGACAACCATTCATGCAATGTTTAGTCACGTACTAGCCTCTCTGCACAGCCTCTACTGTAGGAGGCGGTGAATCATTGCTGGGAACGTGAATAAAACAGTTGGCGTTTGTCAGTGACGGAGTACGGTGTAGGCTAGACGGGCAAAGTCCGAGTCAAATTTAACTCAAGATTTGGGTCAAATGCTACCTTCCACCAGGCGTTCCTAAGGTGTAGTAAGGATATTGTGGATGGTAAGATTCGTCCAAAAGAGGGTCAGTAATTAACCAAAGAGTGTGTCGCTGTAAGGGTAATATTTTCCCTAAAATTCTGCCACGGGCAAATTGTTCTCGCGTTGTTAGTGTAGTGGAGATGGCTGCGTAAGTTCTGCATGTATCGCTAGCTAGACTGTGAGTTTAAAGTCAGTCCGGTATTGAATATTGCTGTGCTGATCGATGTAACCTCAGGCCGGATCAGCTGGATAAATTCCCGGGGGTACCAGACTTCCGGGAACAGGCCCAACGACGCGTGAAATGCCAGAAAATTGCTTGTCCCATATTTTATTAATGGCCCCGTTCATGACTGCAGTTAGTTCAGATCAGGCCACCGTTTTGGGGGTATATGCAGGATCGAGTTTAGCGGGTGATTGTTTAGGCGGGTTTTCTTTGCAGATAGCATTACCGGTGTGTGTTTGGTTGTAGCAGCTCCGATTCGCGGTATGAAAGCAGCCGGCGGCAGGAGTACAGTGTTGTGTTTCTCTCTTCAACACAGGGGGACCGGTGAACCACAGCTGTACATGACACACCGGGGGAGACCTAAAGAACTCAGCGTCTTCACAGAGCTCGTTCGCGGACGAGTTGAGCTTTGGAAAGGACATGCCCAGACTTCCGAATAAGCCGTTCTAAGATCTGACGTTCCTTCGAATTTGATTAAGACGTGACGCCGTCTTCAGTGACGTTCTGGAACGCGCCGAAGGACGGCCTTCTTGACGTTGCCTGGATACTAGACATACCTTGCGGGTTTGACTCAACGACCTCGGAGTAACATGGTAGCCGCACAACGAGGCGGGGAATAATTGTTGCCGGAAGTATATATACAGTACGTACCGGGAGGGGAAAACCATCATCACGACATGGAAAATCTTTCCGTTGCGAGCCCGGACGGCGAAGCGGCGGGCATGGAAGAGAAGGACGGCCCGGGAGTCGGTGGCAACCACGCGGCATCGCCGACCCCCCCTCCCCCTGACCCCCCCTCTTTCCCTGACGACCCAGCCGCGGGTTTGAACCTACAGGATTTAGAAGACGACGACATGCAAGCCGACGAGGAACAACTCAAAATGGTGGCTGGGCTGGCCGCCTTCCAACTGGAGTCTAAGATATTCAGCCTGGTGCTTCCCAAGTCACTGATCCACCCTTACATCTCTCCTCGGACAATTAAAGACATGGAGAACATCATCAACAAGTTCAACAAACCGGAGAGTAAAGAGAAGTTGGAGGGGGCGGCGGAGAAGTGGGAGGATCTGAAGACAGAGCTGGACTTCACGAGGAGTCACGATCAGGTCATACAGACGCTTAAGTCGGACTACTTACACGTCCACAATCCGCTCAAGGTCATGGCTAAGGTGCACCAAAGGTCAGTCGCCTAATATTAGACTGCATATTAATACGTGTCTGTAGTCTTCCTGATAGTGTGATTACTACTGTGAATACAAAAACTTGCGCAGATCTTTTTGTGATCTACATGTACTTCTGCAAGACAGTATCAAATCTTCTGCAAGACAGTATCAAATCGGCAAGACAGTATCAAATCGGCAAGACAGTATCAAATTGGTAGTACCCCAATATATATTAATTATATTTGCCACCCCTTGAACAGTCAAGAAAAAAAGCCCGACAAAAAGACTACCTAAAACGCGTCAAATATAAGCTAGAGTCTAAACGTCTTCTCGATTTATTTCCGCGGTGACCACTTATTGTATACTGCAAATTATAACACCGTAAAGTTGTGTTTTATAGTTTGTTTTGCTATACTACAGAATTATTCTTACGCGAACTTCAATAGCCTCTTTGCAGGCCTCCTAGTGGGTGGGCGTTTTAAAACCGTTCTTTTGCCGACCATTCTGCAACCAACCGAGGATCGAAGGACGCTGGCCTGTCCTTTTTCTGTCGATAAAAATACATGTAAGGTGGACTAAAAACACATGTACATCTAATCAACGTACGATACAGATCGAATAGGCACTTTCGGGACGGAAGTATGGTTTTGGGCGGGGCTGATTTATGGAGAGTTTGTATGTATCTTTTCCTCAGCAGCGAGGATTGGTCATGTGTGGGTAGATATTGGGTTTGAGTTACTTTATAATTACAGGGTTGCGTGTGCCTTTGGTGTGATAGGATGTGGTATGAGGTCACCAGGAATCACGGTATGAAACTGTGTAATCACGGTATGACAATAACCATGGAGGTAAAAAAGAGACCTCCATGCAATGACCATGGTGTAATACGAGACCAGATTGAGTTACGCCATACAACCATATATGTATAATACCGTTTAAAACAAACTACATGACTTGTATGATGTAATTCAATCGAGTATTTCTCCCACGAATCCAGGATCATACAATACAGTTCTAATACATTTACAAATCCCCCAAACACTTCTCGATCGGCTAATTTCTGATTTCTTGCCTGCATTCCCATAGAAAAACGGACGACCCCTTTGCTAGCTGCTCGTATACTAAGAAAGTGCAAATAGTCCGTGACATGTTATTGCTCCCCCGCGCTGTGTGAAGGACTCTTCAGCATGCGACTGTCGCTCCAGGCAAAGAGAGATGGTTTGTACAGAGAATTAATGGTTCCTAACAGGGTCTCACATGTGGGTGAATATTGCTACAAGTGTCAAAGAAGAATGACTTTAATTATGTAACCCAACACCAGTTACCATGGTGACAGACGTCTGGCCCTGGTCATTGGCCTCATTTGTTTGGAGAAGAAGAAGAGGAAGAAACATAGCAAAAACAATCTTTTAAAAACTTTTAAAATATTGATACCTGGGTTACAATTTTTACGCTACGACCAGTTTATTATCACTTTGATGTTGCATCCATACCAGAAATCGACCATTGCAAAGGATAGAAAAAATCGTAACAGAGGATCAGTAGGATTACAAAACCGTGGGTTAAGGTATGGGGTATTTGTAAAGTAGATTATTAGCCCTGGCGCGGCCTGTATGCAAGCGGTGTGCCGGTTTGCCGATAGGACCACTCAAATATGACCTTGGCAAGGTCGCCATGTCGGACTGGGCGCCATGACAGATCACCGTGACCCTTGAACATGACCCTTCCGGGTTAGCCTCCAGTGCAGACTTTCTAGGGGTCAGCGTCTAGGAAAAGTGGAAATTATCCAAAGATATACATATCATTACGTGGTTAGAGGTTAGTCGCTACGTACTAGAACATGATATACCCAACGTGGGTAGGGACTATCTGTGCGGACGTAAAACTTACCAGGATGGTACCCAGGCTATATAAGATGATAGATATACTAGAGGAGTTGGTCCGCTAAAGGAGTACAGTTTTTACGCTTCAGAAGGGGCAAGCTTTACCAATTCTAGTGGCATGTTATCTGTCTATTTTGTCAGTTTTCTACTCTTTCCAGCCGCTTCTGAAGCCTGGAAGAGGCTAACATCCTCAGTAGTTAAATATTCACAAGCGCGTAGTATGTAAGGCCTATTCCTAGACAGTCCCTGTGCCCTAAAAGGCACTTGCCAACGTCAACCATAAGGGGACGGCATGTTGAGGGGGGGGGTGATTTTCACATTCAAAATCAAATCAACTAACGAATATTAACAATGTACGACACGTTGGTAAACCATCTAATATCAACAGTAGTCTACAGGAACTATATTCTAAAGCCAGAGTACAATGTATAGTGATCGGAATGCACAGGAGACCGTTTTATACAAGTTTGTGACTGAGATAACACCATTTTTTGCGTAGAACGTTAGTTACATATTGGCCTAGATATGGAAATAAAGTCAAGACGTGGCATACTAGTATCTTTCAATGCCAGAAATACGTGGACAAGCTATCGAACGTCCGAGCAAGCAGAAGTAGAGAATCGAATATTTTCTGCCAACTTTTTCGTCTTGTGGGCAAAATTTCAGATCCCAGTCCCTCTGTTTTAACGTGCCCCATCCCAACCCCGTCAACTTGTGAATTTTACGAGTTACACAAATCTAGCCATAAAGAATAAGCTGTTAAAAACATATTTTTGACTCGCAAATAGAGGAGAGATCGAGGCACAACGCCAAGGACGGTCATCAGTTATTTATGAAGGACATAAGTGACTCGATAAAACTCTCTGCAATCTTATCTATTTTCTACCCACGTCGTTAAAATTCAACGTACGGTCACTGCTCGTCAAAACGTTGCCAATATGGTACTCTCCAAGCAGAGGTTGATGGCCCGTTTTTTGTCCCTACCCCCACCGACCTTGGGTGGCGAATTGGACCCTCTCTGGCCAATGGATACTGCCTGGCCATTTTCAAAAATTCTTATTCCAACATTTCATGACCAAACATGGCGACGGCACATTCAAGTTATATCAACTCATTTTATGCCCTCCGGCCAACACAAAGTACAAGGACAGGACAATACTCATTTTCAGTGAGGAAAGTCGTGTAAAGTGCCTTTCCCAAGGGCATAAGATCGATGGAATGCCAGGACTCGAACCCGGGACCTCTTGGTTCCGAGTCGAGCACTCTGCCACTACGCCACACGACCCCACTTGGCCAATTTGATACTGTCTTTTATTTTGCCACCCTAGGATCTGCTTGGAGATTAGCCAATCGACCATAGTGGGAACAGTGACCAGCTGTACGTCATTATGTACCTGTCCCACTTGCAAGTTTCGATCTCAAAAGATCACCAGAACCTTCTATACGTTCTAAAGTACGGTAGCTCTCATGCAATCGCATACTAGTACCCACCACCCAACTCTTATGTACATATTTGTCTTTTGCATTCGCGGCTTACTTCAAGTTTAGAGGTTGTAAAAGCTGTTCAATCTTTTCTAATTATGACTACTCTGTCACATAGCCTGGGTGTCAGCCTTTTTAGCTTTCGCCCAGTAGCGGATCTTGGGGAGCGGACAAAAGCTAAAAGGGCTGACACTCAGACTACCTATCACAGTCACGGTATGAAGTCTATGAAGGGCCATTGACTGTAAATTCACTGTATTTTGCTTTGGCACGGTTTTGGATGTGTACATTGTCGTACGCTTTAAGTTGTGGATGTGTCGTACAAAAGTCGCGGAAGAGTCGTGCAAAATTCTACTGACAAAAAAATAATGCCGTGGATCCTTTGGTTGAGTCAATTGCAAAGCTTCGCCGTGAAAATCCTTAGTCTCTACCAGACTACGCTGGCTATATATAGGAGATTATTTGCCAAGGGAGTTTGGCCGCCTTGTGGGGTTTGACTGGCCGCGCAGGATCTAGGAGGGAAAGAAACTGCCTCCCCGCGACCGGACTCCCCTGGCCAATTTTACTCTCCTTTCTGCCGAATTCTACTATCTGTATTCCCGTAGAAAGGCTATGATGGTAGAGGCTATGAAAATCCTACGACACTACAAATCGCAGGACGAATGTAAAATGCTAGCTACATTAGAAGAGAGACTATTGAACTCAAGTGACCTCTACCAGCATTTAGATTCACGACCATAATACCTCAGTTTATCGACCTTCGCGTCATCATGCGCATTGATATTCCCATCAATCCTGACAAAATGGTTAATAAAATAGTCCCTGGGGATATCGACGTTCTACTTCAGCCCAGAGAAGCGAAACGGACTCTTACTGAAAAATCAATATATCCAGATTCACGCACGTGCACATGCATTTTACTCCAGTGAACACAACTTGAATGCAGATATGAAAATACTTTATTTCTGGCATATAAGGTGTTTGTTTTCACATTTCAAATCGACACTTCAAGGTACGGTACAATACGTTAGGGACAATAATATAGGACGGAATAATTCCGATGCTATACATCGCTTTCAAAAGTTCTTTTTAGTTGTTTGGGTTTTTTTTTTAACATTAAATGTAGATGAAAACTTAATGATGAATAAATGTTTCCTATTGTTAAATCAAGATGAATATACTTTAAAATGAACCTTAATTTGAACCCTATATGTCCACTTTGAAACTGTAATTAGCCTTCCTTAGAAAGTTTAAGGGGCTTGAACACTATCGTATTCGCTTTGACACTACAATTGGCCTTCATCAGAAAGTTTGAGGGGCTAGATATATCCACCCTTTGTTCCCATGTTGAAGCACACATTGACTGCTATGTTTGCTCGTTCCAGGTGTTCAGAAGCAGAAGTACGGCAGGCACTCCGGGCCAGGTTACCCGACCGACTACGGCAAACCGGAGAGGACATTCTAGTCATGATGGGAAAATTAGACCTCATCCCGAGTTGAAGAGACAGGCTAGGACGGCGTGTGATTGGCTCACCCTTCGTCACGTGACTGTGTTTGTGTAATTAAATGCTGCTTTACCTATACGTCATTTCTCATGCCAGGACCACCGCTTGTATATGTCACGAAACTACTACTGGTCTACCGGCCTATGTTCTGCCTTCTCTTTTGGTAGCGCTTGCCAGCCGTCACCAGCCAATCATATCGCCGCCTACGGTCAAGAGACAACATGATTGGTCAGTTAAGTTTCCTCCAAAAACAGGCCTAAGGTAGTATCTGATTGGCTGACGGCTGACCAATGCTAACGCAGCGAGAAGGACGGATCGAATGCTGGTACGCCAGAGTCGTTTTGTCACATATATAAGCAGTGGGCGGGGCATGAGAAGATGCTTTATACCCACGCACATCCAAGGTGGTTTTATAATCTAGCTCCTTAATACATCCGGTCGAAAAGCTATTCAACCTGGTGAACTGGTCTGTCCGGAATGAGCTATTATAGATCTTGTACGAAGTTTTTCACGTGCGGTCTGCTTTTCTAGTATAGTCTAGTCTTGTGCGAACGTGTGTCCAAGAAGATTAAAATGCAGCAGTGCAGAACGGCACAAGACAAGGCTACAAAGACAAATATAGGGGCTGGTTTACTAGATTAAGAGCTGCTTTCTAAAAAAATCCCCGATGCCCACGTGAACACGAGCCCTTCAAACAACAGTGAATCCATAGTTTGACTTTTGTACAACTCCTGGACTATAAGTATAACATGTCGTTTTCTTAATAATGAAGACGTTTACTAAAAAGATATTCGCCTGTACACGGCACACTAAAATTCAATGATTGCGCAAAAAACTATATGATACGAATGATTAGAATGCAGTTCCTGTTATAGAATTATCTCCAATGGCACAACAGAACCACGGATATTGATTGTATTCGGCTTTCCTTTTTTTACCAGAAATAATCAAGTTGAAGTGTTCAGTCGAGAGCTAGATACACTATGTACTTTTTTGACCGGTTGTCATGTGGCGGAGAGATATGTGACAAATGTTGAAGTACAGTCAGATTGATGTATGCAATGTATGCTGCTGCGGTAGTTTTCCAGGGAATACATAACGTTACACTCACAGTTGTGTGCTATGTTTGAGAACACTTAGAGATACTATATATATATCAGTAGTGAAAATAAAATCTACAGATATTTATTTATCATGAAAAATAGTGTTAGCCAACGTATGGTTATAATGTACTCCACTCGACGAAAAATGGAAATGTGGAATTTACTCATGATGTAAATTATGGTTATTTTTTTGCATGATTTTTTAAAAATTTGATTGGATTTAGTCATATATTATCGGACATGTCATGCACCGCCATTGCTTATGCAAGCATTTTAATCTCATTGGTTTATGTAAATATCTATAGACGTACCTTTCAAACGTGGGACATAACCACGTAATAGCTAAAATAGCACATAGAGTTAGATATGCAGGGCTCACTACACAAAACGTGATATTTACCAATAGCGCAGGAAACCTACACTAGTGGTAATTATCACCTAAAGCAACCATTACCGGGCATTTATCGTCATTAGTAAACCACACTTTCCATACATAGTCTGCTTCCTTTCTCCATTAGGCGATCAATCGTGAGTGTTGAAGTCATGCACGTAAATTAAATGATAGGAATTGATAAAAACTACAAGACCGTAAAATCCATTATCAAGTACAAGATCGTTCGCGACACATGTACATCTGGATCTAAGCTTTAATTGAAACATACTGAGGTTTTGAAGTTATATAGTGACATGATGAGAACGCTACATTGCAGAAGAGCCGACGGGAGTATGTGGTACCGTATACTGGACAAAGAGTGTTAATAGAAGTTCAAAGTTTGTACATTTGGTTGGTTGGGTTGTTGCTGAAGAAATAAACGAGAGAGGAGGGTGGAAATAAAGAATGGAAACACCAAAGGTATCATTTTGTGTCTTAAAATTACGTTCGAGGATACACAACTTGACAACCAGTCCCTTAGATTGGGTTTTCCCCTGCAAATCCTCTAAAATCCGCTAGGCGGCGTCTTTGAGAGTCCAGCAGGGCAGAATTCCAGGTACTTGTACTCTGTCTACTGTATTCTACCAGTAGGCAATAACCTTAGTCTAGAACATGCCCTGTGACATTTAGAATACCTTTATTACTCCGTGAAGGAGGTCAGGACCTCCGGACGGAGTGTTGTGATCGGCTGATTTTTCGTGTTCGCAGTCAAAACACTGGGTTCTCTTTGTGTAATCGGCACGCAATTTTATATGCCGTCTGCGGGCATGCCCGTGTTGATGCACGAATGTGTATTTTTGCCGTTGCTGCTTTCGCGGTCAATGTAATATTGCAGACGCACCCCTACAATTACGAGGCGAATTGGAATGGTCCAGAAAAACGCGTTGTTTGGAATAGCAGTGGGGGGGTGGAACTTCATGCAGATACGGGGTAGTTTTGATAAGTGGTTCCAGATGTTTTTGCCCATGGTTAAGAGATGCCAAGTTTTTTGGAAGATGTTCGCAGCCAAAACGCATTCTTCCGTACGTCGCATTTCTGTGTAATTTCGCATGTGGTGTGGCATTATGTCCGGGATGATGCACGTCTTTTTATTTTTACCGTAGCTGTTTTGATATTGGAGTAAATGGTTATTTTCGAAACATCCCCATGTCGTTGAAATGTTGTCGTCCGTTTATGTCACCGGTAGTAAGTCGCGGCGGGGCTGATGGGGACGGAAATGTGGGGTGGTCAGAGGTCAACATTAGGAAATGTTAATACCGATGACGTAATCCTATCGATTTCAAACTGGTCGGGTGTGGCGACCTAGTGGCGGCGTGTATTTAGTCACGTAGCAACTGGCCGGTCGTCCTAGCAACGACACATGGCCAATATTTTTGGGTTGCGCCGCTCCATAGTGTTAGTGGAGCAGCTCTTTGTAAACATGGACAATATTTTTGAGCAACCCATCAATGTGTTCTGCCTCGTGGTCGGATGTGGTCTGGGGCTGGTAAACCGCACATACATGTACTAGTAGATCGGGTAATTTTATGATTTGCTAGTTGTAAAGGCGTCGTGTAGTATGAGCCGGTATATGAAGAAGTAGCCTGTGTTACACAATCATGCTTTCGGCCGGATTGATGTGCAACTGTTACTAATTGCAGGGACTGCGCTAATGCCGACCAGTCGCGCTGTCCTGATACACCGCGAATGTGCGAGTGTTCCCTGTAGACAGTCCCGGGAGTCATTTTTTTCGCACATTCCAGGAGCCAAACCAAAATACGTTCATGAACCGAGTCCAAAAAACCGAAACGTGAAAATCGGATGATCGGACCTGATGTACCTTTCTCTTTCTGTAGATTGTACACACAATACACACATCTTTAGATAATCTGGCCATGGCAGGTAAAAAAAAAGTAACCCTGAATCATACTAGATTAGCGTAAATGCATGTTTATGCGTTCAAAACAAGAAAAGAATTTGTTTCCCGGTATTAATCTCTTGAAACACGGCGCTGAATATTGACGCAAAAATATTTCGGGCATCGCGCGCCCTTCCCCGTTGTTTAGACTGTATGCAAATCCCGCGTCACGTGTCGGCATTTCGCATCTCTGATTGGTTGTTGCGTCTTAAGATGACTGAGCCGACGCGCGTTTAAACAATTTTCTTTGTTCGATTTATCACACTTCACAGAGAATTGTCGCCAATGGCTACTTCTTTTTGTTGCAATATATAATACTTCACGGAGAATTGTCACCTATGGCTTCTTGTTTTTATCTTTTCTCACTGACATCAAAAATTGTAGTAATCAGATACAAAAATCGAAAGGCACAGTACTGCAGTCTGGAATTGTCAAACCATTTTTTCTTGCCTAGAAACAAGTGTTGGTTTATGTATACTTCAACAAACACATTCTGGACACAATACTATTGCTAGAAGTTCGCACACATCCCAGGCGGAGGATCCTACTCAGAAACTATTCAGACACAAAAGCTCAGGTGAACTTAAAGGCTATAAACCTTTGTGTAGTTTCCTACACATTATTTGTTCAATGTACCGTTTTTGTAAAAAAAATTAAAGTATGTTTACCTTTTTTCCTTGAAAATAATACCATATCTTTTTACAACTTACATCATTTGTAACACATCTGAACAATACTATCGAATCTAAAATTCACTCCACCAGCCATCTAAGAAGAACACTGGAAAAGGTAAGAAAGGCTATGAAAAAGTGCTATCTGCACTTCATATGTGATCTACTGTGCCAGAAATACAGTGGGCTGGGAAACTCCCTCAGGACTGTTCGCAAGTGGTTAATAGTGCAATAAGTATTTAGGTGCAATATGCTAGCATGCCATTGTCTAACTGTATTATACTTGTTAGAATTTTTAAGCATTGTTGAGGTTTAAACTGTCTGACGCACTCCAACTATAAGTTTACCTTGCGCCCCCTGGGTAATTAAACCCAGAGAAGGGGTCGTCCTAGGCATTTTTAACATATTCGTCTTGTGTAAGTTTGTCTCAAAATTGCAATAAAGATGATTTTAACCCCCTCAGAGTTTTATTATAATTATTGTTGAGCACTGTGAAAAGTTTTCATAGTCCATGATATTGTTGGCACTGTCTGGGATGTTCATGTAAACAAGGGTCTACAGTAAGTGTGTTCCCTTCCATTATATTTTACGGTCTAACACTTGAATGAAAAAATATGCCATTCACATTATGATAGAAACAAAACTACTATACGAGGCCATACATTTACTACTCATTTAGTATGAAGGGCATATATATTCAGTAGTGTAGAGAAATTCATAGGCAGTGTTGGGCTATGATAAATGTAGCTACATGTACCTGTATTTCATATACTACAATAAAAGTTAAGAGATAATTCATAAAGAGTTTTGTAGAAAAGGAAGCACATGAGAAAGTAAGAATTCTATAATGGTTTGCATTTGCCTTTTAATTAAAGGTGTTAATGAAATTCCAATTCTACCTCACAGATGCATGTCACACTGTCTTTAAATCCCATCTTATCAATTTTTTAAAAATACTAATGAACAATCAACCACACATAAATAAATATGAACACATGAAAGACATACGTGAATAGTTTCATCAAGTTTGTAAGTCACTGAATAAAGAGACTCTTTTTCATAAACAAGTGTTTTATTTAGCCGATGTTTTGGTGACTGTTACCTTCCTCAGGGCAATACTGCCTAGTTCACATTGCACAGCACAGCATTATTGTAGATACAGTTCCCTATAACCATGTAGATGTGTAAATATTTTACATTTGGTAACGCATCCAGAGCAGCGACATCTGGGCAATGTGAACCAGTAAGAATACCCGAAGGGAGATGACAGACAGTCACCGAAACATCATCTGAATAAAACACATGGTTGAGTAAAACGAGCCCCTTTATCCAATAGAAAGACATGATATCAAAGATCCTATGCTATACTACAGGTCTTCGCTGTCATACTTTCTCCAGTTCTTTTTTGGGCGGCAGGACTGCCTCCTCCTCCCCTTCCATAAAGTCATCCAAGTCGTAGATGACTTTAACAATGAGAGAACAGCTGGGACAGGTGGCGACCTCCTCACCATTCATCAGGTCCTCTTTGGTGATCTCAAACCTGTCACCACACGGACACGGGTAGTAATACGTCTCCTCGTCTTCATCATACTCAAAGTCTTCTATCTCAACCTCGTCGTGAAAGACCGCCATTCTGGGTGTTACAGTCCTGACGGAAGTTATGCTGTATGTATGAAATAAAGACTAAGCTTTAACTTAATGTATTTGTTTGTCTTGTCCTTTAGTTTGTTGTCCTTTTAGCATTACAACCTTCTTGGTTTGTCTTGTGAGATACTTGTTATGTAAGATGGTTGCTCGTCTTGTCTTTTCCTTGGTTTGTTCTCCTTATAACCTTCTTGGTTGTTTTGTGCGATACTTGTTATGTGAGATGTTTGTCTTGTGTTGTCCTTGGTTTGTTGAAGTTACAGAAGATTTATTTTCTTGTCTTGTCCCTGGTTTGTTCTCCTTATAACCTCCTTGGTTGTTTTGTGAGATACTTGTTATGTGAGATGTTTGTTTGTCTTGTGTTGTCCTTGGTTTGTTGAAGTTACATAAGATTTTTTTTCTTGTCTTGTCTTGTCCCTGGTTTGTTCTCCTTATAACCTCCTTGGTTTGTTGAAGTTATGTAAGATTCTTGTCTTGTCCTTGATTTTCTTTCGTTATAACCTCCTTGGTTTGTTGAAGTTACATAAGATGTTTGTTGTCTTGTCTTTATTTTCTCCTTATATCCTCCTTGGTTTGTTGACGAAGATTAATACTGATGAAGATTGCTGTGAGATGATTACTCACAGCACTTCAGACTGCCAAGCCGCACCTTTAAGTATATAACAGACAAAAGGGACAAGGTGAAAAAGACTTTCTGGGATAGTTCAAAATATCAAGACATTTTGTAGGAGAGTATATTTTGTCCAGTATCAAAACTCACGTATGGCTTAAAGTTACCAACAGACATTATAACTGGACGGAACAGTGCTGGTCAAAAGCAGCGCTAGCATGATACAACTTTAAATAGAGAAAAACTGAAACGTGTATTACAGTAAAATACCAGTGGGGTAAACGGTAGAAAGTCGCACTACATGTATGCCCCCCCTCCCCACGTAAGCTTATTCTCGCTTTGTATCTCTCAACTCTTACCTTGATCCAAGCAGCTTGCTCTGGTGAGGACAGATTATCCGACTGCGCTATCCGACTTGTCTTCTTGAGAAACCCAGTAATTCAGTGTTTGTTGCCGAACTGCGAAAGCCGTAGACTCAAGATTGCACAATCTCCACTAACACGTACGGCATGCATGGCAGTCACTTCCGGTTGTAGTTTAAAGGTCAAAGGTCAAAATGTATCTCTGCCTGATAACTTACATCACGTCGCATGCTGATACACACAATCTTCTTCAAGTTCTTGACGGAAATATATATATAATATATATAAAAGATGGACAAATTTACACAAAATTTCTGCACCCGGATTTCAGAACCTGCTCGAAAATAGTTCTTTCGAGAAGCAAATACTCGTAATGCATTTCATTGTTTAGCTACACATACCAAGGACGTTCAACACAAGGTGTTTTGCACATACACAATAGTCCGGAAAGTTCTAAGGCAATGTTGAGTACAACTTACCACCAAAAGCGCGTCTTCCTGGGCGGAATTTTACCAGAGTATTTCCCCTCCTTCCCGTGTACACTCGCCATCTTACAACGGCGAGTTTCACATGCAGGTGCCACCTGTTAATCATGAGCAAAATTGGCAGAAAACAAGCATCGCTCATGCAACATATCTACGATGATCTCATTATGGTGGCATGGAGCATTATTTGTCGATGGTCGATGTAATACCATGGAATAAATTACTTAAACACGTGCACGCCCAACGTGTACCCCTCCACCATGCATTCATACGTGTTAGTAGGCATGGTTTGTAAATACATACTAGCAGTGCGTAAAAAGCGGTGCCTATTAGTTTGCTGCAGTACTGCAGCACTATTACAGTAGTGCTGCACTAATGTAAGTGATTAATAGGGGTCGCTTTTGATCCATGCATTGCGTTTATGACGAAAAACTTTTTTAAATATATGTGAAGATATGGTCATGCCAGTAGTAGTAAAAGAGTTAACCAGAAAACAACGTTTCTTTGGATTAAAATGTTGTTTATTGTCTAAAAATGGCTGCGTGTTTTCAACGTCCGAATAGTTCCGCCCAGTAGTCTAAGTAAAACGGTGCACGGCGAAACGCGTATCTCTTTGCGACAGATCTGTCGTGTTTGTGTACTTCCTTGTCAACTAGAAAACCTTGTCTTAAAAAGTCATGGCTGAGTATTGTGTCACAAGAAGGCCTATCTTCGGGCTGCTCCTCCAAGAGTTGCAGAAGAAGCTCCCTGACTGCTACAGCGTCGAATTTGCTCGTGGTCTTCCGAATGGTGTAGAGGCGGCGAACTTTTCTGTCAACATGAAACAAGGGTAGGCGTTCCGATTGTATTGAACACATACGATAATATATTTACATACGTACCATGTACCACTCAAGTTGGGCAAATTTGGAAATTTCTCCTTCAATTTCAAAGCACCAAATTTAAAGCTCCTAATTTTGTTTCCAATATCAAAAATTTTTCATGAACAAAACAACAGGATATTAGGTCATAAATAACACTTCGCAGTTTGCCAATAAAAGTAGTCAAGACTAATCAATTTCTGAAGGGCTGCTACATCCAAATTCCAGTCCTAATTTGTGAACCAAGAAAATATTGAACAAAGTCAATTCTCTTTCTGTATTTTTGTGCATCAATAGATCTAATTTTCCTTTCAAAACTTTTGTATGGACTACTTTTACATGCAATATAGCATTGGGCGCAGGGAGGAGCTGTTCGATGTTCCAAAATGTTGGTAAAATCTTGTATATGATTACAACATCTTCTGAAGCAAGACAACCTACCTACAGAAAGAACTGATATTTTACAATGTATGTTGACTGAGGACATTAAAGACAGTAAGATTCTGAAATCCCGAATTTACCTGTGATAATTTCTGCTCTTGAGGTTTCGTTCCGGAAATGCGACGAATCCAGCGTACATCCAGAATAGCACACAGCCCAGTGCCCAGACGTCTGCGGCCGGCGTGTACCGGGGTTCCACCAGCACCTCCGGCGGCACGTACCCGGGACTCCCCCACACAGACTCCCACACCGCCCGACGACCGGGGCTGACGATAGCCAGTCCGAAATCCGTGATTTTCACATCCAGACTCTCCGTAAGCAAAATGTTCTGCGGTTTCAAATCCCGGTGTATGATACACTGTTCGTGAAGGTACTGACAACCTTCTACCAACTGCCCGAAGATGTCCCGTATTTTCCGACTATCCATGTATCTCTTCTCTTGTTTCAGTTGCTCCACGTAAGAATACAAAGACCCCATCTCGCAGTACTCCAAGCAGATGTAAAACTGGCCGTGAGAAGTCTCCGCCCAGTCCAACATTCTCACAATCCTGTCGTGTCGTAGAAAGCTATGGATCTGGATTTCCATTCCCAGTCTTTGGAGTTGCCTGGGGTTGCGTGGCTCGGCGACTTTGACCGCGTACAAGGCACCGCCTCCTCCCCCGGTGACCGAGTAGACTCTTCCAAAACCGCCCTGTCCTATTAATTTGATTACTCCAGCCAATCCTGGGACGCCACTGTCACAGCTAGGCTCCACGTCGTTGTTTTTCCTGGTGATGCACTTCAGACAGTTGAACATTTTGCTGAGCTGACACCGAGTCGTGTGGCGTGGAGTGTGTTGTACATAGAAACGTACCGTATTCGAGAACAAGTTCTTATGCTCTAGAACGTTTAATAATTTGTAGAGTGAAGCATTATGTGAATACACCCAGGAAACTGATTTCTGTAAAGATATAGAGCAAATTCGTAAAAGGCCCCATCATAGAGTTACCTTACACTTAATCTCCCAGCAGACATTGGGATAGTAACATTTCCTAACTGAACTTTTTAAATAGTCCACATCTTCATCTTTTGAGTATCATAGATATATATTACGTAATGTGCAGTATGTAACGGCAACATATCACAATTATTAACTTTTAAACTTCAAAAGTGCATTATTCTCCATTTTAGGGCAACTTTAACATGACAAACAAAACAAAATTCAACTCATTCAACTATACATGTATTGATAACAAAATTCAAATACATTGCAATAATAATCGCTCTCCATCCATATTTTTGCGAACTTAATACTGTCAAGTCACGAAGGCTGATAAACAAGAAATACTGGGGTGATTTCTAAAACTGCTGTTTGAGGAGGTACATTTGAACAGAAAAATCACCTCGTGTGTTCTAAGTTGCAAGTTTTTCTGTCTTTTGGTCCAATCGGCTGGATAGTAACGTTACACTAACTACAACATTACTCTTTTCTCTCACGAATAGATAACTTTATCGTCCCATTGCCTTAATTAACATCGGTGTAGCATGGTTGGCCCTAGGACAGCATATGTTCCCTCTAATGTACAGTCCATGAGAATCTGTTAAAGCTTGAATGAAATAGATAATGAACACAACGTCGTGCTCTCATTGGCATCAAGATATCATTCACTGCATCGGGTTTTCTAGCCTGGGTGGGTACTACTGTATCCACATTAGTTACTCCGCTGCGCTCCCCCAAAAATATTTTTACTCCGTTGCGTTCCCCCCAAATATTTTTACTCCGCTCCGTCACCCCCCCCCAAATGTTTCTCGCTGCGCTTCACCGAAACATTTAAATTTTTTCTCCACACTCTCCCACAAAACAAAACAAAATCAAATATTTTTACTCCCCTGCGCCCCCGCCCCCAAAATATTTTTACTCCGCAGCGCTCCCCGAAAACATTTTTGAGGAGCGCGGCAGAGTAACAATTACTGATGCTATCCAGTCTTCGGTTTTTCTTTTCAAGAATGTTTTTTTCCCTACAAAATATCGGCAATGTCTTCCATCTTACAGTCCACCAGGATCTGATAGAGTTTTCCGACCGTGGCGTCCGGCCGTTTGTGCCAGTCCGACAGCAGCTTCTCCGCAGGGTTGGTCCGGGCCTTGTTGTGCTCCCAGAGCTGGGCGGTTTGCGGCAGGACGCCTATTCTTTCCGCTACCAACTTCCAGTCTTTACCTGGGGAGTGGATACCTAAAAGTAATTACCTCCGAGTGCGAAGGTGTTGTTTTCGGTGTGTTTGTGTGTGCGTTTGCTTCTGCATCCGTATGAATGCAGTAGAGTGATAGAAATAGAGGGGGGGTGTTTTCGGTGTGTTTGTGCGCGTTTGCATGTGTGTCCGTAGGTATTTTTGAATGCAGTAGAGTGTCAGGAAGAGAGGAGGAGATTTTGTAACCGCAGACTGACGGGAAGGTCGAGTTGGAGGCCAAAATGGTCTCCCCATGCTGGGAGGAAGTGAACGATGCAAAGTTTATCTCAGATTCTGTCTTGCAGTTACCTGATTCATGTATATTTATACCGGCTGTTGCCTTATGGAAACTAGCAGGGAAAATATACGCATGTACAATCATCAAGATACGTCGATGAAGGTAAGATCTTGACATCCAGGTAATAAAATGCGCCAAAAACAGTTACTCAAGCAACATGTACATGGATATGATTTTGGAAGAGGTCAGACGTTTCATGTAGCATCCCGAACTATCTTTCGTCAGTGACACTGATCAAAATCATCAAGAATTTCTCAATAAAACTAGAACTTTACAGCTCGCATGTTAGAATTCTTGTTGTACTACTAACTACCCTGACCTGCGGATCTGGTGATGTTGAGTTCCGTAGTAAGCCGTAACCGCACGTCTCGGGGCAGGTCTTTAATCGGCAGGGTATCCGCTAACTTCGGACCTGGGCGATGGAGAGGGAATAACAGAAATGAAGCTGAATAATTCATCTTCTTCTTCAAGTACATGTCAAAACTTCATTAAGTTGAAGACTCATGACATGGGGGGGGGGTGAGTGAGGGGTGGTCGCTTTCTTGTTAAGTTTGTATGGCGTGAGTAAGAGGACGGGGAAACCCAGCTCCTCAATGGGCAGGGGCGCTACTCCCTGTCCGCCACCCTGCAGGTGGGTAGCGGTGAGTACCCGTATTGTGAATGGGAGACTAAAGGTTATTTAGGGCAGATCATACTGGCAGCGTTGAACAAAACAACTTAATGATTATCGAAACTTTTCGTATCTTGTTTGGATGCAAATCAGCACTTAACAAACTGCAGTACTCCTTTTCGTGGTAGGAGGCACTGCGTGTAGAAAATCATTGAAGGTCTAAGTCATGCAAATTTCGCCTCTTTGGGGGAGTGGGGGAGGGGGGCGTCCTGCCTTCGCCCCAAAACGTTTTTGCCATTCTTATTGTACTTATGACATTCAATGTATTGTATTTGAAGTAGACTCCAGGACGATAAGGTACTGCATATTCTGAATGGAGATTTGTGACAAACAAACAAACAAACAAACAAACAAACAAACAAACAAACAAACAAACAAACAAACTGACAAACAGACACACACCTGTCGTTCCCTTGGGCAGGTGTGCCCTGAGCGTGTCGGCCACGTCGTCCCTGTCCACCTCCCTAGCGGCGCGCGCGACCCGCCTGATGGGGACATTCTGACACGCCACGATCAGCCGCAACACGGGGTACGACCCGTTCTGCTGCGAGAAACAACAACAAAAATCACTTATATTACTTGCAAAAATGCATGTATTTCAAAAGAGAGACTCCATTTTAGTTTCTTTAGAAGGATTTGTTAATTTTGTTACAACTTATTGTAATGTGAAATCCATTATGTCACAAAATGGGGAATACTACTAGTACATAATAACCTTAGTAAATAGGAGAACCCGTTTGCAAACCGTTCTGGAGTTTTATCTATTTCCTTTCTTACATCACCTGTATGTTTTTCCCTCATATTTCTTTTACTGTATCATTTTCTTAAAAAGGCAATGAAAATTGGAAAAAAGGCTTCAATTTACATCTTGATGCCATCTATTTTATTTTGTGTTCAGGCAATGATATCTTGAGAAAACGTATTCGTCGGCGCAGATTGTACGTACCCTATCCTATAACTGACTCTGGGCGACAGTACACCTTCCCGGACTGATTAATCTGTACACCTGGGGTCCGCGCGGACCCCAGAACAGTTTTTTGCTAATTTTTAGAAATTATCAACATGCTACCAGCTCAATTGTTTTGCAAACTGATGTGGGAACCTCTGTGTCCACATTGCATACAAAAATCATACATTTTGAACTTTTTCTATTTTTTGGTGAAGAAAAGAAGACAAGAAGAAATACCCGATTTTTAAACCCATGTCAGACTGAAGGGGCTTTTGAGGCCCAACTTTGATCTCAGATAGCGGCTAAACGGCTTGCGCTAGAAGTATCAAATTTGGAGACCTTTCCTAAAATGTCTCTGGAAAAAAGTTCATATTAGTTTAATACTAGTAAGTTGATGTTTTTTTGTGTTGCCATGGCAACGGGTTTCTAGCAGGCAGTTTTTTTGAAAATAGAAGTAATTTTGGTTTAAACATAAAAATTTTCTGAGTTTTATATTAAATTACACTTCTTTTCCAACATTAATAACATCTTACATAATTAAATATAAGTTAAATCATTTAATATGCATAGAATATGCTAATTTGATGACGTCATTGGTCAAAATCCAATATGGCGGACTATATTATCAGCTCTGATGTCATATGACGTCATAATTACACCAAAGTTATTAAAATTTAATTCTATTACTACACCATTCTCTAAAAACTTGGTAGACATACGACGAGTGCATAAAAACATATAAAAACGGAAATAAGGTTATGTATAAGAACGCCATTGTATCCATTATGATCGAAAGCCGGCTGGGGTCCGCGCGGACCCCAAAAGAAAATCAGATATAATTTTTTTATAAATGGTAGAAACGGAGTTTTCTGCACTGTATTGAGAGAAAACTTTGTGGGTGACAATTACCTAAAATTTCAGAAAAAAATCTTTAGAAACAAAAAAGATATTACAGAATATATAGTGCTGGGGTCCGCGCGGACCCCAGGTGTACTGTTTAGGGTTAAGGGTTAAAAAGTATGGGCAGAAAGTCCGGAGCAAACGCCCAGAGGGACGACTGCGAGATGTCAGTTAGCTTGAGGAATGGAACCACTCTATACTTTATCGACTTACCGTCTCCAGGTTTTTCCTCTCCTCCCCCTCGAAAGGCAGTTTCTCCACCAGTCTGTACCACTGTGAGGGGGTGAAGTCTGCCAGGGACGACAGCTTGTTGCGCAGGTGCGGAGACAGAAACGTCGGCTTTTCTGGAAGAACGGCTCAGGGTTTTATTTCATCAGAAAAAAAAAACAGCACTGCACGAAATCAGCTTTAAGCACAGCTTTAAGCGTACTGAAACGAAACCTTTACGTATGTAACGTATGGTACGGTGCATCTCTAAGTATCTCTCTCTCTTTGTCTCTCTCTCTCTGTCTCTCTCTCTATGTCTCTCTCTGTCTCTGCCTGTCTCTCTCTCCGTCTCTCTCTGTCTCTCTCTCTCTCAGCTGTCTCTGTTTCTCTGCCTGTCTGTCTCTCTGTCTCTGTCCCTCTCTCTCTCTCTGTCTCTTCGACTCTCTCTCTCTATCTTTCTCTCTGGTAGCAGTCCAGAACACCTTCCCACATAACATCTGCTTGAAGACAGGATGTAGGTATTTTCTTCTTACACATCCGGCAATATTTTTCACCTACTAACGGAGCTTCTGACTGGAGTACTGCTTCTCGCCGCTATATGTAGCCAATGTAGGGGGCGCTTTTGCGACGAAAAAACAATCCCAAACTTGGCTAAGTTTGTACCCCCCCTCGTCCCGGTTTTTTTTACTTACCGCCATTCTTGGATGAAGCGGACTCCCTGAGCCCTTCTTCCCTTAACGGACGGGCGAGCTCGGGTTGTTTCTTCTCCAAGACGTTGACGAAGGCTTCAAACGCCTCCGGTCCCTTCTGAGGCAGGATCTTGAGGAACCTGGTGGCGCGGTCTGTCGGAGTCTGGCCGGCTAGAACCTCCGCCTCCTCGCTCTGGTCAAAAACCTGTGTGTGGATGTCGGTACAAAATGTCACGGAAAGGGCACACAATTAGAAATTCCTCCAAATAATGATTGTAAAAGCTTATTCCCATCCTATAGTACTATAGTAAAACACTCAAGATTGTATATTAGGTAGGTTAGCCTTACGAAATACAATAGTACCACTACAGTACCAGTAGACTGATGTCATACTTTGTACGCTGTACAATTGTTGTGCAATAAAATTATTACTATCCCCTCAGTGTAGTATCATTGTATATTTTGTAACGGCCCTTTTAATTTTCCCTGCAAATTCATATTGTAAAAACTGTAACAACACACTAGGAGCTTTGCAGAGCTGGAGAACATGGTCTCCAGAACACTCCCGAACTCCCCCCAATCATGGTTAGAAAAAGGTCGGTTGATTGTGGTTGGCTGGTGTTCGGCACGGTTTGCTAGCTAGTGTTTGGGTGCGCCAGCTAAATGTTTCAAAATGTTAAAAACATTCGGGCGTGGACGCGAGTTTGGGTCATAGTTTGGGACACGGCTAGTTGGTGGCTGGAAGTAGGTCAGCTGTGTTTGGGAGTCAAATTTGACTGAAATTTAACTCAAATTCGACACGATTTGTACAAGAAATGTAGGTCCTGAATGTGTGTCACGGTCTCAAAGGGTCGTTCATTCGTGTTCAGACGGATTAAGTAGACAGGTGGTAAAGTAAACATCTTCTCTCAGGTGTAAAGAACAAACCCTTAAACACCGCCAACACCTCATCGGGCCAGTGAATGCAGCAATAGCAACGTCCACAATGCGGGCAATCGAGAAAGATAACACGGCACAGTTTTCCCTCACAATACGGGTTACTCTAACGTGGTGCCTCCTACACACGCCACAGCGCACGCCAAAAGCCAGGTCTTAAAAGATCGACACAGTCAAAACACTTAAAACATACATGTAGTGTACACGCCTCTAATACATTAAAATGCTTGCTTCTGAAAGAATACAAGCCTATATTGAACAAAATGGTAGTCCAGTATTTTAAGTGTGTTTTTGCGGCATTTACGTAGACAAGGTGATTACAAAGGTACACCATTACTAAATTGGCGTACTAAATCGTAGTAAATGCCACAAAAAACTAATCTCCAAGCAGATCCTACGGTGGCCAATTGGATACTGCCTAAATGTCTTCAGAGGTCAGATTTTCAGTACAGAAATTCTTTTTCAAAAACGTATATAAGATGCTGTATTTCTTTTGTATGTATAGTTTGTGTTTCTATGTCTGTACCGTTGTTTTCTATGGGTGAAATACCTGAAATAAAGACATTTATTCTTGCCACCGTAGAATCTGCTTGGAGATTAATAAAACATGTAATACACTGACTTACAAGGTTTGGATTGGAGCCAAACTTGAGAACTAACCAGGCGCAGTACCGTTGTGTCTACTGCAGACGTTAGTTGCGTGCAAACAGGACAAGTTCTTTGCTTACTCGGCAACAAAAACACTTGGTAGTATTTAACAAGACGGAGGTAAACAGTGTGCGCACAAATTTGCGGCACACAATTTATCGAGTGTGTGGACGCAGTGATATTTATACCGGCAACCATGGCGTTTTCTCAACAATATCACTGTTACTACGTATATTCTTAGTCTTGTTAGCGCAACTTAAACAGCGTGTTTACATTTCTCGTGAATAATTACTGATTGATACAGGAAACATGACTTAATTCGTCTACAGTAAGGCAGTCATATATAACATTCTTTAGGCTTTGCATCCAAGACGATCCACTCTGTATGTTTTAATGGCAAAAGCAAAACGACAGAAACAAAAAGTGATTAAAAGTGGTTGACTATCATTAAATCATATACATGCGTTATGCCGGCATATTGTATCGACAATGGAACCAAAACAAACTTTAATTTTGCTGTCACCAACTGCAGACAATGATCTAAGACATTGTATAGTCTTTTCCGTTGAATTTTGTACCACATATCTACGATCATTACAAGAATGAAAGTACGATCGTAGGACGTTGTACGACTGTAGGACGACGTGTGACGACAAGTTGTACGGAAATTAAGAACCTTACCGCCAACATCTGCACCAGTACCCTGGTGGTCTGCATGTCCCGGACCAGTTGGCGGTGGTACCTCCGCAGCAGTAACTTGTGCAGATCTTTCATCTCAGTCATCGTGACACGCACACGGCAATCATACTTGTACCCGATCCAGGTAGACCGTCCGAAGCTGGCCGGGGACACACTCGGTCAAACCTGCGTCCGGCTTGACCCACTGAGTCCCTCACCTTTTAACCCACTGCGTCACCTTTCACCCTTTTGAGTTTTGGTGTAGTTAGACTTGTCCACCGCTAGGGGGTGCGCGCACTACATGTACACCGCGCGGTTCGGTCAAAATCTGTTGATGAAATCCAAACGCATTAAAGGTGATATTTATACACAAAGGATAAAGTTAAGATCAAATATCATGGAGGAATTGTTGTTCAGTTGTGATTTTATATCATGTTGCAGCCCCTGAAAGGTGTGAAAAAGTCCAGGTCAGAAAATATTTGAACAGAGGTGTGCCTTGATGCGTGTGTATATGCACAGTAAAGGGTAGCCTTCCCCGCCTTTCGTAAAGTATACATTTGGTGTGGGGTTTGGGGAAGCCTTGTTGTTCACACCGCGCGGCTAGAGGTAGCCTGTTTACTCAGTCAGCGCGGAGGGTTTCTTTTATGAGTCCACACAATGCCATGCTATCGGTCATTCCCGCCCGCGTCACCGTTGGCATGGCAACCAGGTGTTCTAGCAACGTTTATACTTCAAATAGCCATGAAACGTGCAGGTTTGGAGCAGGAACAAAGGGTGTCCTGTGGCGAAGGTTTCATTCTGTTTGCACGAGGAAAATACAGTTGTTTGCGGCATTTTATTGGGGGAACTAATGAGGTCAAAGGTGTTCTTTTTAATCATATAAACTCAACACTTGGCTAAGCTAGCCTCCTTCACAGACTTTTAGCAGGGCTGCATTTGCTTCTATGAGCAGAGCAGCTAGAGTGGTTTCTTTTTAATGAGAAAGCCTTTTTTTATCCCAACATGTCATGACTGGACATGTTGACGGCACACTCAAGTTATATCAACTTATTTTATGCAGTCACAAACACATAGGACTAATACAGAACAGGACAATGCTCATTTTCAGCGAGGAAAGTCGTGTAAAGTGCCTTTCCCAAGGGCAGAAGATCAGTGGCATATCAGGACTCAAACCCAGGACCTCTTGGTTCCGAGTCGAGTACTCTGCCGCTACGCCACACAACCCCACTTGGGAGGGCCTTGCTCGCAGAAGCTTACTCCTTAACTTAAAAAAGTCACATATCAGCGCTCACCCAAAAATAAAAAATGTCATCGCTCCAATACCTGTATAAGGCTATGGCTAATAAATCTTTATAACATCACAGGGGCCATATAATTGGGCAAACATACAAAATAAAGCATACCGAAGTCAAGTGCGTCATACAAATCACCCTTTATTGTACACTTATCTTCAACAACCTTACACTAGTGTGCCATGCACAGAGTTAATACGATGCTTACATGAGGGTCTTCCTGAAATCGAAAACTGTGTGCATTTACATACCTGTACAGTTTCTATTCTGTACAGTCAGTTTCTAAGGCCACAACGATTCAAATTTCTTTTGGTAATCAGATTTAGAAAGGAAAATCAGAGAGTAAACAGAGCTTGAGAGAAAATTTTTTACCACACACGCATACAGTACATAGTCAGATTCAATTTTTGTACATAGTCAGATTCAATTTTTTCTCCCAGACTCCTGTTTTTAGGTTGTCCTAAAACTTGAAAATGTCGGTGTGGCCTTCTTTGTCTTCTAGTGGTCATCACATGAATGATAAAGACACGAAACTGTAGCTACTAGAAAAAAAGCACATCTTTTCAGGCCCATGTAAGCATCCCTGACACAAACGCAGTATAATTGTGAATACTTCCCAAAAGAAAGCCAAAGATTGGTGCCGATATAAAGAGGGCACTTATATAAGCGGTAACTTTTTAAAAGCTCTTATTTCTTATACAGTTTGATTAGTTTGATCAGTAGTAATGGCATGTTTATACATGAGGTATCAAGGCAGCTAGCTATGGAGCATGCATTGTCAATTCAACCGATAAGTTTCTGCCATTTTCTTTTCCTGTTAATATGAAGCTATCTAAAGCATTTTTAAACACAATTTGTACCCATTTTTGATGACATAACTGCACTGCAAAACAACACACATATCAATAACAGTCAAACAAGTAATGAGCCAATAATTTTCCAAGAAATATCTTAAAATACTTGCTAGAAAAATGGCTACACTTTCTTGTTACTAATGTTAGATCATTATGCCACATCATGTCTACATCAAATTTTTCAATACAAGAACATACGAAAATGGTACTTTCTTATTATCTTTCAAAAATGGGCAAAAATTCTGCTTGGTCTAGCTTTCAAGTTTTGAAGGGAAGCAAGGGACAATGTAAAACATGGCAGACAAAGCATCCAATACACCATACAATTTTGTACATTCCCTATACCACAGCACTGAAAATTAACCTCATTTCAAGATTACATTAGTTCAAGACAAAAATGTGAACAAGTTTACAAAGAGAATAAGGCAGATTTTAACTACTTGACAGCATGAATATTAACTTTAAGCAGGATCACCATGCTACATGTATACACAGTTACTCAAGCAACTGGTTAGAATTAGAAATCTAGTTGCTTGAGTAACTGTTTTGTCAATACCTGGATGTCTAACCTTCATTGACAGATCACCATGCTACTTTCGTAAGCTTGCATTATCATTAGAAACAAATTCAAGATACATTTTCACACCTTCAATGGTTATACATGCACGTGCAAGGCTCTTCCTTTGGAAACATAACGCACAGCAGATTTTCAAGTCAGAAGCATCTTACTTCCTACATTCAATGACTGTTTAACAGCTTTAGAAAATGTTCCATTTTTCTTTTTAAGAATATCCAGGCAAGGCTATAGTATAGTGCCATCAAGAAGGAAGCAGGCTTTCTTACAACTTCTACAAGTTTTGGCATAGGTAGTTAAGAAGTTCTGGTTTATGAAAAATATGCTTACATCCACTTAACCAAAGCAAACATTCCTTACAATGGTCTGTCTTGAATGTAAGTGCTTGATATGTACATGTGCAGTCTTAACCTAATATCACACTATACCTTTTTTTACAACCACTGTCCGAGCACACAGCAAGGATTTAAGATAAACAGCTAAAAATTCCTTTCACATAACCATGGATTTTTTACCTGACACTTTGGTACATAAATAACACCTGGTATTGGTTTACCGGAAGAACGTACTGTGCCTGTGCGAAACCTGGATTTTTCATGTTTTTTGTTCTATGTTGCATTAAAATTCTGCCCTTTGCAGATATCTTTTTTGACACAACATTTGAGAACTATTGAGGGGATGTCATCCTTAAAATATGCAAATATGACCTTAAATGAGACATTCTGCCTAAATTATGGGTTACGTGCAGGCGCAGTACGTTCTGACAATGTCCTTATATCAGACAGTAAAGAATCTCTGTGGCTGTGTGAGGAAAAGAGCCTGACCCACTACTCCAGGACTGCATAACCTTACAGTAACTACTCTAGTGCACCCCTACACCACTGTCCTCCACCACATTGGTTGGTAGCGTGCAGGGCTTGGCTCGGCCCACGGAGGTAGTCACTAGGGTGTCCTGGCCGGTGGAGATCCTGGGCGCCAGTTGCAGGTCGCGTACGGCCCCGTGTACGACGTTTGCCCGCACCCTTCTGTCCGCCACCGCGCTGGCGTACGAGGTTCTCTCACCTGCCTGGTGCTGGTAACCAACCTGTAAGAAGGTGGTCCTCTTCATCTTATCGTAAAATTGTATCAGCTACGCTTTTATGTCTAAGAAAACAATGAAATTCTTCGAGGTGGGTGCAACCTCATGTTTTTAATCAGCAATTTTAGTTGTTTTTTTCTCATGTTCCAGGTCCTCTGAATCTGTCATATCAAGTACACTTTAACATTTGAGTCAGGGCTCTAGATAGCTCCAAATTTTTTCTGTCAGTCCGGGTTCATGATTTTATCTGGGGGGACCACCAAAGGCGCTAGGGGGTCAGAAATGTTGGATTTTCAAGCCTTCAAAAACTCTGCATTTCCTGCATTTTGAAAGGCAAATTTGTGGGGTTGAAAGTGGTTGCCAGTGATCCTTTGGACGTCTTTATCTTTTTACCCAAGATTTTTGTTGATTTTGTCTGTCAAGGTTGACAGAATATTACTTTTTTATTTATCAGCAGTTTTTCTCATTTGTCGTGTTATAATTTTGAATGTTAGATTTTATACACCCCCCCTACCCACCTCGCTGTACACCAGTTGCTCGGCCAGACGGCGGTCTCGTTCTTCCTGGTCCATCCGCTCCCGTTCTTGCGCCAGGCGCTGCTTGCGCTCAGCGTCGCGCCGGACCTGGTACTCAATCTCCGACAGCTCCTCCGCCTTCTGGGCCTCCAGAGCCACGCGGTAGTCATTCGCCTCCTGTGAGGTCTGAGAGGAACTGCAGGTCAATCTAATATCTAAAAAGACGTGACAACATAACTGGGCTTTCTTCAGCTTGAAATTTCTTTCCATCCTCTCAATTTAAGAGTGAAGCTCCTTGTCAAAGGATGGATGTTGGAGGTTTAGGGTTGAGCTGTATACCTGAACATTACGACATATAGGTATAGGCACACAAGTTGAGGTCCAGACCTGTACCTGTACATGAACAGTTAAAGAAATTAACATGTTCTGAACTTCTTCAATAAGAACAGAAACATGAAACTTGACAGTTAAATGTAGGTTTTTGTTTGTGGAGAAGTCAGAGACAAAACATGGGCCAAACTAAGATATTTTAAGTTTTCATGTTTTAGTTTTTATGCAATGGACCTTATGCAGAAGTGGTTTGACTGTAGTTGAATTAAGAAGAGGGAAAAATGGCGTAAGTTGGACTGACCAGGTCAACTTTGGCGACGTGTCTGCTCCTTTCTGTGGCCTCAGGGCCTGGCTTGGGCCGGTGACCGTTCTCAAACTCCTGCAACTGGCGAGCAATCTCAAAGTCGCTGGCAGTGTCGTCCTGGCTCCTGGGCTTGGTCTTCCACTGAGGGGAGAAAAGGAAAAGAAAGGTTAAGAAAACATAGAAAGCTGAACTTTTGATCCAGAACATGTAAAAAAACTACAATTAGTACTACAAAGCTACAAGTATTTTGCTGCTGTAGTTTTATACTGTAATTTAGCAGGAATGCTTTTGAATTTGAATGGTAGAATTCAAAATCCTTCTGTCTCTGTCAGTTCCTACCCTCTGATTCTGAAGCTCTCTCTCCTTCTCCCGAATGCCCAGTTCGATCCGCTGCAGCTCGTACGCCAGACGCTGGTCGTCGTCAAGCTGTCTGTCCGACACGCTGCTCTTCACCCACGCCAGCGCGTCCTGCTCACGTTTCAGCAACATGGCGTTCTTAGCCTCCTGTAACAGACATGTCAAACAGGTTAAACAAGTTGTCAGCTGTCAAGGAGGTCATGTAATGAAAAACACGTGTGAAAACTGATGTAGATGTGATTAATTACTTTTTCCCTCTGGAACAGATTGAAGAAACCATATTTGACCTGACCTAAGTGCCATGCAGAAGCACAGACACACATACGGACATACACAGACATACCAAAAACAATACCTCCATTTTTAACGGAGGTAACTGACCTGGATCTGCTGCTGTTGGTGGTGGGAGTTGATCTGGTTGTTGATCTGTCGAAGCTCCAGCTTCAACTGCTCCCGCTCCACCGTGGACGTCCCCGAGGCACGCGACGTCGACACCGGCACGCTCGGCAGATTATTGATTCTAAAGGGGAAAAAATACATGTCATTTTCCAAAAAAGTCATTTCTGCACTTGTTAAATATGCTTCTAGAAGTACATGACAAGCTCAAGATCAGAATATTTTCCTTACTGGTAGAAGCATTGCCAGATACACCAGCTTGGCACGTTATCAAACCATAACTGCAATATTTCACTATAACATACTAGTAGTGACTAGTACAAAGAAAAATAATCACCAATACATCAATCCTGACCAAATCTGCTTTGTACTTAGTCTAGTAATCATCTACGAATATGAACACAAGTTATCTTACAGGTACATGTAACTGTGCCTTATCAAAATTTGAAAGTCGAAGCTGTTGCGAAATGTTGACTGGAAAGATCAATTACTGTTAAACGATTTTTACCCTGATCTAATAACTGAATAGATAAAACTTAAGTACAGTATTGTGTCTGCTATATCTTGTCCCTAATTTGGACTGAACAGGGTTGCCTTCTCCCAATAAAACCAGTTTTCCCTTTAACCAGGTAAGGATGGTGACCAGGCAAGCTTGCAATTCAGTTATCTTCAAAAGTTGGAATTGATTCCACTCGGGTATTGTACATGGTCAACTATTGGGTAAAATACATAAAAGTCACAAAACAAGCTACAGCGTTGTGTTGATTGCTGTAACAACACTGATTAAAGTCAGCTGCCGGGAAATGTGGCAACAAGATACAACATGACAGTCACTTCACATCAGAGCAAGTATGGAAAATAACGCCAATCAAAACTTAAACTAATTAGCAAATGTAACTGTGTGCTTAAACTTTATCCGTGGGTTCAGCATTTCGATTTAAATGCATACGAGAACAAAGAAAACAAAACAGGGACTTTTTTAGTTTGTCAGTAACCTACACAGGGGTTCTCACTACCAGTAAGAACGTGTCTGATGTTTTGTGGAGGTTCAGAACCTGTCCACTGCCTCCAGAGGACCTGGGACTGCCATGGCAAGAGTTTTACCTGGACTACCATCCCTTCCTGGGCCCATGCAAGAGGGAGGGAGAGTGAACTAACCTAGTGTTTTGGGACGGATCCTCTCTGAAACATACACAAGGCCGAGACAGGTCAAAAGATTGATTCACAGCAAGTGTTGAAATCAAAAGGCAAACCAGGACTGGTGACGAAACAAACCGGCAAAGAAGTCAAAATGCTTGGCATGACGACCCGAGCCTTACCTGTCGGTGATGTTCCACACTCCACGGTACATTTCCACCGCCGGCTTCTTGTTGTACCTGCCGTCTTGTTCTTCTGGGTCTGTGGGGCTGTGGACTCGCTCGTGTGTGGACTGTATCATGTTCTCCGTTGACTTGACGGACACGGTGCTGGTGTTCCCCGCGATGGCGTTGGATTGGTACGGTCCAGTGTTCCGTATCATGGCCCTGGCCGTGCGGGAGATGGGCCCGTATTTAGACACGATCGGCGTGCTGGAGAACGGGATCAGGTCGTCCTCCAGCTCCTTGGCGCGCTCGAGCGTGCGACGCTGCACCTCCTGACGGATGAGGTACCCCGGCTGGTCCTTCCCACGCAGGTAGTTGAGGTCCTCCCGTACCAGGACCTGGGCGAGTGCCTCGTCCGAGAGGCGGCGGATTTCCGTCACCAGCGAGCTCTCCGTCAGGTAGTTCCTGCTGTGCGAGGACTGCGAGCTGGAGACGACCACCGTAGACGAGGACGAGGGCGTGGCGGTGTGCGGCATGACGTCTTTAGTCTGGATCAGGACGCCGCTCGACCACGGGCTGTACTCCTTGGTCTGGCCCGCGCCGTCCGCCTGAACCTCGCCCTCCTTCTCCGTCCCGTTGGCGTAGTCGGGCTTCCGCGGGAAGAAGGGCGTGGCTTTGGAGTTGAGAGTGGAGGGGGGTGTGTGGGCAGGGGAGCTGTAAGGGGAGGGGGAGGGGGAGCGAGCCACAGGCATGCAGTGGGCCGGGTGGTTCAGCTGGGCCAGGAGCTCCTCACGTCTGCGCTGGAGATCTTCCAGACTCTGGTTCTGTAGATTCTGTTAGTAGATAAATGGGTGAGGAAACAGAACTAAGAGGCAACACAAACAAAATAGACTAGTTATGTCTATAAATGTCAGCAAAACCTTCAGAACTTGAACTTGAAATTCTATTGCTAACTTGTAATGAGACTGGGACGCAACAAAGGTTTTAAGATATCTAACACACTTGAGCCTTACCGTTGGCTGCTGCATGCTGCCCTGGTATGGCCCTGGATAGGGGTGGACCATGCCATCATACCCCGCATACCCTCCTCTGGTGGGGACTCTCACGTCCTCCCGAACAGGGTAGCGAGGCCACACTCCCCTATCCATGGGAGGGGGGTACTGCTGAGGGGGGTACTGGCTGGGCGGCGGTGGCGGGGGGTACACTCCCGTCCCGTAGCTGTCCTGTACGTACGTACGGTAGGGCATCGGTGGCGGCGGGACCGGTTCTTGCGGACGATACGACGTCGGTGGAGGGTATTGCGCCGAGTATGGCGGGGTCATCGGAGGTGGTGGCTGCTGTGTTATGTACTGTGGATGGTGTTGCGGTGGGTAATATCCACCTGGAATAGACAAAAGCGAGAAAACGCGCCACAGTTACTCTCTCGTTTGTCTACGCGCACGCCATTCCATTTGCTTCCTGAGACTTTGGGCGAGATCATCTGATCCAAAGAGAACTCTCGGTCTCATTTCACTTCAAACACATTCCCTAAGGAAAGAAGTGTCACATGTCACGTCACAACCATACTTACCAAAATAATACGGCTAAAATATACTACCCTCTCATCACTCAACATTCACACAGCTGGAAAAAGGAGGAATTTTTAATAGTACCATACCAAAGAAAAAACCACAGTGGTGTTACGCATTGAGATTAACAGAAAACCGGTGGTACCTACCTGCCCACCTAGCAAAGCTTACGTCTCACATGCTCTCGGGTGCTACCTTAAAATTGATTGGTACAAGTGAAGGTATTGGTACGAGTAGGTAAGCAGCGCACTGGAACTTACTGACAACCCCAGGATAACCTGTCTCCACGGGCACCATCTGCACTTGCACAGTTTCCACCATGTATGTTGGACCTTCTGCAAAACAACCCCACAATGAACATGCTGGAACCACTTACATACACACACTGTACTTCCCCTGTCTGTCCTCAGCTTTCAGTTCTGTATATATAGAGTCAAACTTGCCCAAGATACCAACTCTATAAGCTTTTTCTTTGTCCAGATTTTTTCCACAGACGTAAGCATTAAGGGACTTGTCCAACACAATCGCAACTGCACATGGCCCAAACTCTGCTTATGACAACCGCACCATTTTCAATGTGTGGCGGAAATTTTTTTTGATGATAAGCAGCGAGAATTGACCAGTTTGCCACAATCAAACTTTGGATCAATTGGGATCAATTGATCAATTGGGCAGCCTACTGTAAAATGAGTGGAAATTTTGCAGCGGTTTTCTTTTTCTCTGTCTTGTCTTTTTGTAGCCACTTTTGTCTTTTTGTCTTTTTCTTGTGCTTTTTGTAGCCACTTGCCTGAGAAGACCACTTTTCCTCAGTCCCCTTGGTGGTCGTCTTAGACAAGTTTGACTGTATATACATGTACACTGTACTTCTCTTCTGCCTGCCTTGATAAACTGGTTCATCTTAACCCTAACACTGCCAATATCATCTAATATACAATGCTTTTGGACCAAATAGTCTTGAAAACGCAGTCAAATGAAATACGATGTTTCAAAATGCACAAAGCCAGCCTACATATAATCATAATGTACAACATGTCCTGAATTCCATAGTAGTGTAATACATCTGATTGTGTCCCTCAAAATTTGAAGAAACACGTACATTTTTCTTTCAGTGGAAACTTTCCAAATAGGAAACTCTTCAATTAGGAATTACTTTCTCTATTGTATGCTACAGTGTATCATCTGCAAGACTAATGAACAATTTGGATTCTGACTCTGAGATAAGGCAACACATACAGGGTTTTCATCAAGCCAAATTTACTGACCTAATAAACTTCATTTGGTAGCATTCAATTATTTTCGTAAGCATATCATTCCTTTGCAAATTCTTATTTCAGTGGTTCCAAAAATGATAATTCTCATATCTTGAAGTAGTAACATATCTACTGCAGATTCCATTAAATCAAGCCAAAAAATTGGTTCCATCTTCAGACTTCAGAGGTAAAGACTTGTCATCACAACATCCATACAAACATGCTTGAGGATACTTCCATTCTTATGTTTTCAACCAAACCTGTGCAGGGCTGGAAATACTATTTACATATGCAGGTTAGTGCAGGTAAAATTGGAGCTGTGCAGATATTTCTGATGTCTACCTGCACCTAACCTGCACTGGTCCATGTACTGGGTTTATGTGTCATGTACATGTAGGAGTATGCAGATTCTTATTTGCTGCATTGAATGTTACTACCTATTTAGTATAAAAGAAATAATGACAATGTTTTCTGTTTGACGTATGATCCATACCTCCTAAACGCTGAGTGGTACAGGTAAAAATTGTCTGGTGCAGGTAATTTTCAATGTTACCTGAACCAGTGCAGGTATGTAGAAATTAGCATTTCAAGCCCTGCTATGGTTAGATAGAAAACACAAGTCCCCAACCTCACAACAAAGTCATTCACCCAGCGATAGTGGCCATCACCTGGAACTCACAATCAGTCTCTCTTTCTCTTTCCCTCTCTCTATCTCTCAGACACATAAGGGGTTGAAATTACCATTGTAGAAACTGCAAAGTTTCATCTTAACAAAACAACTGTCTTACTTTAGAGCTTTACAATAAATTTTTCATCCATGCATGTCCTGGATGTAGCCATATTTCTTGTCGTCATGACAATTTAGAAGCAAAAAAAATGTGATGCACCAATTTTGCCATGAAAGTCAAACATGTTGACGCATCCAGCGATTCCCTGAGATTTAATTTGCTTTCGAGACTTTAGAGTAGATGGTTGATCAATTTCTCATGATAACTTGGATAATGGTGTGTTGCATCGCCATCCCACATTTTGAAACATGGCACAGTGTAATGTATGCTTTCTTGGCGTACTATTGGCACCAAGGAAAACATTAATATGTTAGGGGAATCGCTTGTCTTATCTTGCATATAGCCATGTTGCTTGCATTTCAAGTTGAAACAAAACATTTCATAAGGACATCCAGGACATGTAGAATACAGAAAGGTAATTTTAACCCCTGCATGCTTCAAACCAACACCCATTTTGCACACCTTCATATGTAAACACTGACTCATATCAACATTCTCACAGGTTCACGCTGATCAAACCAGGTAGCGAAAACAAGGAAACAGGCAGCACACCTTCAGTCATAATCACACACGCCCCCGGCGTAAGTTACCAGCCAATCACGTCCAACCTTGACCGTTAGAGGTTGGTAACTTACGCGGGAATACTAGACGTTGGTAACACCCCCAAGAAGAGCAGACTGCAGGCTGGTTTTAACCTGCAGCCTGCTTAGGTAGCTGTTTGGCACCAGATTTATATCAGTAATGGAGTTACACAGCAGGAAGAAGGTTAAAAACAATGTTTTTCTTCTGCAAAGGTAAACATAACATGCTGCAAGCCTAGTGATAGGACGTTAAGATATTTTTTCTACATTAGCATTTGATCGTCGAGCCATGTCATGTCAAGTAGCATGTTCACTTTTAAAAAACGTTCCTAGTGCAACATTTAATGCAAAGGTCATGGGTTCAATTTTTCCCACTATTCAAGAGTCATCCAATTAAAATTTGCAAATCTAATTGCTAAAAATGTGAACATGGAGTCATGCAAATTTTCCGTATTTTCAAATTTAATTCCAATATTCTTTTTTTTTATATATAAAATACAAAGGAGTTGCAAAGCCAAAGGAAAGAAATGAGAGCAATACTTACGTTCAGGAGGTGGCATGTCTGCGGGTAGAGGCTGTCTCATGGTGCCCCCTGGTGGCTGGTGAGGGTACTGCTCCATGGAGGAGACCCTGGGAGGGTAGGCAGGCTGTCTGCTGTAGGAAGACGGTGGGGACTGAGATGACGGCATGTCTGTAGACTCCCTCGGGACAAGCCCACTGGTAAGGAGCAGGGAATACAAACTGTTAGACAAGGTTCTACATGCTAATTTTGCACAAAGTGCTTCAGGACTCAAAATTCATTTTTGGGAATAGGTGCACTGGTGCACCCAACTTAAAAAATTGGGTGCACAAAAAATTTTTGGGTGCACAATATAAGATAAAATAAGTAGAATGTCAGCAAAAACTAATTATGCTTCATTTCTAAAGAAAAGTACTAAAACAATGATTTTCTTATTTTTCTGACACTTAGATGTTAAGGACATGCTGTATACTAATATACATTTGATATCTTTACATACGTAAACCTATGGAAATATTTGGGTGCACTGGTGCACCCACAGATAAAAATTGGTTGCACAGCTCCAAATTTGGGTGCACTAAGATGCACATACACCCAGTATTTCAAGCCCTGTGCTTACTAACAATCTAATCACTACAAACCGATACTGTACCTATATAAAGTTACACTAATTATATGCTTATTTGTGGCACACAGCCCTACTTTTGTGTATCTGACAGAAAGAGGTCTCACACCACTGTGACTTACTTGGAACTGTGGTCTGAGACAGTTGACCTTGAGACCAGGCCTGGGGGTGGTGGTGAAGGGGGAGAGGCTGTCCCCTTGGCGACAAGGGGGCTACCTTTCTTCACTTCCCCCTTATAGACAGGGACATCCTTCGTGTTCCCTTTCTCCACAGCTTTTCTATTCCTTGCACGGTACCTAAGCAGAACAGAATGCAAAAAAAATGTTTTGCAATGAACACTTTTCAACACGTAACTATATACCACACTTTCCAAAAGCTTACTGATAATTGAAGATAAAGTTAAAAAAGCTTAATCCTTCCCGCATGAGAAGGTACATAGGGCAGCACCCATCTATGGTTCAACAGCTCTTGGGCCACACAGTTGTGCAATCACTACAGCAGGGTGTCAGGGGGCTGTGTTTAAGTACCATAACTTTTCCCAAAAGTTGTTCAGCAGAGAAAGCAGTATGTACCATTTTTAAAGTTTGTGGTATGACTTGGCTGGGAATCAAACTCACGACCTACCGCAAGCAAGACAAACACTCATGTTGATCCCCTACCTGTACATTTCCTCATCAGAGTGTGCAAACGTACAGTTGACGCCACGGGGGCAGCCTGTCCCATTTCTGTTCAGGTCCCGACACATGCTGGTCTTGTATTTCCCACTCGTGACCTACAGAAAATGGTATAGAGAAATTCAACACACTGTCATCATATTCTAGTCCACACAGTTATCACAAATAATTCAAACCTTGTCTTAGCAGGCTACATATGTACATGAAGTGTGTGATGTTCCCTTTTGTACATCTTGTACAATATGTCATGGTTAGTATATTTATATATATATATTTATATTATATAATTATCTATGTATAATATTTAAGAACATGAACTTCGACATTGGTGTCTTTGTCTTGTACAGTTATTCTGCTGATTTTTTTTATAAGAAGACCAGATTCTACAGGTCCCCAGGCAGGCTTAACTAGAATAGCATAAAACATTGTAACTGTTTATAATTGCCCTGTAACGTTGAAGTTTAACTATAGTCATAATAAATTCATAAATATATATCCTTACACAAACAGATTTACTTTTGTATTACATGTTTTGTAATTAGCTGAATTTGATGCCTAGTGCTTCATTGTGTATTGCTGTTGCAACTTGACTAAAGTCAAAGACAAACAGTAAGTAGTTGCTGACCTGTGCAGATTCTCCCTTCCTGTTGCCACAGTAGTTCTGGATGAAGTCCACCACTCCCTGCACCACCAGTTTGACGGCCTGCATGCCCTTCCTGGTGTCGTCCCACAGCGGAGTCTCCCCGTCAGGGCTGGGGTCGATCTTGGCCAGCTCGTCGAAGTACGGGCGCAGGCGGGACAGGCTGGCGGGGTCGCCAGACCGCTGCAGGGCGATGACCAGCTCGTTCACGCTCTGGGAGAACGAAGCCGGCGTCTGCAACTGTGGAGAGTCAAGATGGCGGCGTAAATGGTAGTAGTACATGTAGTATGATGGGATTTATGCTCCGTCTGGATTACAGTGCCATATTTTGAATCCTTTTATTGCTAGAATCTAACGTGCATCATCGATGCATGCTACGCAAAGTTTATAATTCATCTTCCTTCTACATGTTCGCAAGAATTTAGGAAACTCGACATGACATACGAACTTGATGTGACATACCAATTTTTGCACTGTACACATAAGGGAAATGTGTGTGCTAGAGTTCCATGACTGCATACCTTTGCAACTATACATAGGCAAATTATGACCTTAATTTTCATAATTTGTATACAACGATGTTCAAAAGCTCTTAGCTTATACTTTATTTTTTTATCAATCTTGGGAGCATATTGGTAGTCCATGCATTCAGAAAGGGCTGATTTCCACGGGAGCCCATGGCACATAAACAGAAATACAAACTTTTAGTCAGTTTGATCAGAATCAGAGTGTTTCTGCACTCAGAAAGAAGAGTGGTTACCTTGTCTATGATGGACTGCATGTGTGACTTGTGTGCCGTGTCTCCGTACAGTAGAGAGGACCACTGCTCAGGAGATATCCTCAGTCCTGCCTCCATGGCGATCTGTACAATCTGAGCATCGTGTTCTCTTCTCAGGCCGTCATATGTACGGAACTAGGGAGAGAGAATAAATGTCTTATTGCTTTTATCAGAAGGACTATGGAATCAGTCGGCCTTATTGTGGGTGACTGGGGATTTAGCGGAATAACTCTTGATGGCATGATTTGACATCCATGATTTTTGGTAGGCAGATTACCGTTGTTGAGGCCGAAGTCAAGTGCAAGTATGGGCTTCGTGGGGGTTCAGTACGTCACTGACGAAGGCATGAGATCTCCGACCTCTAGTCTTTGATGTAGTTTTCAATTTTATTTGGCTGATTTGTTATGATTTGTACAGCAGTGCATTTTGTACTTCTTTGGTTTCTCTTTATTGTTATTTTTGTCTGAGCTAGTATCAGATGTAGATACTTAGCACATGTACTAAACAGGGGTTGAAATAAGTAATTTCCATACTCTGCTATATGTGAATCGTGATACTAAACCTGAACTGAAGAAGATGTGAAAAGTCTAAGTTTAATACCTCTTCCTTGAGTTCCATGAGTGAAGAGTCTCCGTCTCTCTTGTACACCTTGAAGCAGGAGGCCCTGTACAGGAGTTGGACCACGTGGCCGATGCTTGTCTTGGAGGCTTGGGAGAACTGTTTCTCCAGTCTCTGGACAACAAACATCACCAGCACCTTCCTGGACAAGGCTGAGCCATCCTCCAGAGCCAACAAGATCAGCTTCAACGTTTCCTCCTGCATGGCTACAGAAGAGAGACATAGCAGTTAGTAATTTTGTTCACCTTCACAAAAGCAATGCATATTGTTTTTGGTAGGATAGACCTCCCGAGGCTGGTCATCATAATTTGTGTTGGAATAAATTATGTAGCAAGCTGGCAGGACAAGCTGGAGGGTTCTTCTACAAGATTTATGCAATTTACAGAGTTTGCAAGGCTAGGACTTCAAAAAATCTGCAATAGACATAATCACAGATGAGCTGAATTCAACCAATCTGATCTTAATTCAAGATGATTTAACACAAAGTTGATACCTAATGTACATGTATGATTTCCTGAAATGAAGTAATAAAATTTTCACCATGGAGTAGACACATACAAAACTGGATGTGGAAATAGAGGACCACTTCAACTTTTATACCACTTTTACCAGCAGATGGTTGCAATATCTTGGACAAGGAATAAATAATGGCTGACTAAAAATATCTAAAGTCGCCAGATCATGGGAAAAGAAGAAGAGGAAGACCTGAAACCATGTGGAAGAGAACAGTGTTTATTTTTACGGCTTTGTTTGAACTGGTGTCCATGGCAACCCGCTCAGACAATGACGCAGGATGGGTCCAGAAGTCACGGCCTTGTGTCTCCCAAAGAGACAAAGACTCGAAAGAGGAAGTAAGTAAACAAGAAAGACACATACCTGGGCCGAGGAACTGGCAGCCCCTGGCCCTGACGGCCGCCCACAGGTTCTGAGACAGCTGCTGCGGGTTCTGGTGCTGCAGAATCAGCTCCGTCACCGTCCGCTCCCCCAGAGATCGCGCCGCTCTCATCGCACGGGCGCGGCCCTCGTCCTCCACCAGCTGACAGTTCACCAGCGTGACCAGCTTACGCTGCATGGGGCGGCTCAGGGGGCTGTTGTTGCCTGCTCCTCCTGAAAAATATCCAGAAAAGTTTAGTTTAAGGAATGATTTCCATATTTAATGAAGACAT